AGTAGGAGTGGTTTTCCATCATCAAACTGAACTCAAGGCTCCTTCTGGTGCCAAAGTTGTATTGAATGCAGTGAGACATCAAAGATATGATCTTTCTAACACAACCATCTAGGGCAATATTCTGTTGACTTAATTTAGCCTGTTAGAAATTAGGCACATACTCTAACCTAGTCATCTGGGCTCCCTCAGGAGGCAATAGAAAAAGAATTACATATCTAGAGGGCAATTTATCCCACTTGTCTTAGGTATTTATCTTAGGATGAACTGAATTACCTTTGGAGACACCTTCACGTTAGTTTTGCTTTGATTAAATAATGAATCGCATTGTTAAAAATCATTATTTGGGGTTTTTTTCCCAAGACACAATATTTCCATAAAATCATTATTTCATTGCATATTACTACAGTAGCCAAAGAAGAACTGGGAAAGAGAGAGGAAAATGCAGTGAAATACCTTCCCACTATTTTCCCAGGTGTAAACATGTGAAGCTGGGTGCATTTTTTATGAGCTCTCTGTTTTAGTCAATCACACAAGGAAAATTTCTACACACTGTGAAGTTCACAGTCAAGTTTCATATTTCAGATTTTTAAGAAACGGCCCAAAGGCACTGAGCAAGACTAGATTCATTACACTGAGATCTGTCCTCTTCGCCCAAGATCAGGTGTGGTTAAGGTGAGCCAATATCTGCTGTGTAGTCAGTGATGCACAAGGCAGTTGCCTTTCCAGCTACCCTGAATTACCTAACCCAGATTATCCCCTTTCCACACTGGGTCACTTGAGGACAGCCCTCACTGCTGCCCTCACTGCAGGACACATGGGTCAAACCCGAGCTTCTGGATTCATAGCAAGAGGCAGTACCCACTCTGCCTTTGCCATTGTTTCTCACTGAGAGCTACTTAGATTTCTGCAGTAGCATCATTTCCTCATCAAACTATTATAGACCAGTTAATAAGATGACTCAAATGTCTGCAATAGACACTACGGAAAAACTGAGGGCAAAAGATGAGTATTACAGTAATAAGAGCAGATGATACAAATGATAAAGGTGGCTGTCTTATTTCTTCACAGAATACAATGGGAAACTGTAGAAACTCCCCAAAGTTTCTTCAGTACTGTTATAGAATTCCTCTCTTTGGGGGCCACACTAGAGAACTGTCTACTTGGTAATTTGACTGCTTTTATGTATTCCATATGCTATTCAATACAGGTGTGGGGTTTCTTATTCAATAATTCCATAATGATCTTTGGAAACATTACCCCTTGGGTAATGGCAGTAGCTTATGACAGCTATTCATATTGAAGACAACTGTTTAATTAAAAACAGCATTCTAGGTTTTTTCTTTAAGGAGGATGCCTGGCAACCACAAGTTTCTGAATATTAACATAAGACACTTACTGTTTAATATAATACATCAACAATAATGAAGGTATATCTTGTAATTGAAGAAATGAGCCACTGGCAGAGTGAGAATTAGCCTGTATGAATAGCAAGAGGCAGTGAAATGAGAAACATATTTCTTACTGCTTTTTATTAAAATTATTAAATTGAAGTCAAACATTGGTACTTTGAATGTTTGTACAATTCCTTTTAAAAATCAGCTAACAATATCTAACTTTCATTCTTTAAATTTTGCATAATTTTCTTGGTGCCACAGTTCTATTTTATAATATAGAAATGCATGTTACATCTTCCATGGTTTTCTTATATGTGTCTTCACAGCTCCTGCAATTTATCTGGGGCCTTCCTCTCTTTAATGCATTTTCTTAAACCTCAGCTCTTGAAGATGAGGAGCAAAAACACAATTCCAGTTTTTAGTTAAAAACTAAAAAAAAAGTACTCTTGGCTGAAAAGAATAGTTTGAAAGTGTGCTATAAACACATATACTGCCTCAAAACCCAAGAGGAAAATAAAAAAAATAATGATGTTGGCATTTTTTGGTTATTATTTTGGATGTGTTGAGGATGGACTTAACCCATGATTTTTGAGTGTCTGGAGTTGGGAAAACCATAGCATTACCTGTCCCTATCAGAAGGGAGATCCCTATTAGAGAATAACTGTGGTTACTCCATTCAACTATACTGCCGTTCTTTGAGATGAAGCTTTACTGTAATAGCATGTTGTCTCTGAAAATCAATTTTATCTTTTTATAAAAAGCCATATAAGATGCAAAAGAGAGAATTAGCATGTCCTTGAGTATTTCATTCATGTATTGGTGCCCACTAGTTAAGACAAGGAAGTGTAACGAGAATAACCAAGGCAGCTATTTTGAGTATCAGTATTAAAAATAATGTAGATGAACTCATAAAACAACAGATAGGAAAAGGCAGGATAACTATTATGATACATATGTAAATACATCAGACAAGTCCCAAGAGGTTGTAGTGATCTGCCTAAGAATATATTATTTGGGTTTTTTTAATAATTGTCTCACATCATCTTCAGATGATGGAAAGACACATCAAGGACTCTGTAGCATATTTTTAAGTGCTTTATTTTAATGCTTATTTCCCTTTTGTTTTTGCATAATGCTTTTGAAGCAAACATTTCCTTCTACTGTAGATAGGATTGTTCTATTGTCACCTTGCCAGCTGATGTAAAAGCATTTCTAACAAATACTCAAAATTAGAAACCAGAGAGGAGTTGCTTGCAGACAGGTAGAGCACAGCAGGAGAAAAAGCCTTCTGGACCTCAAGAAAAGATTATTTTACACAATACTTATACACAATACTTAAATGAGCAGGAATTCTGCCATCTTATCCACTTGCTGAAGAAGAAAACAATGTAACAATAAAAAGAAGCATTGAGAAGTTTGTTAAAGGGAAAGTGAATGAAAAGTCCCTCTCATGGGCTCTGCTGTCATGATTTGCTATGGACAAGATCATGAACTAATCCTTTTTTCACCTGTGTTGGATTCATTTAGGAACAATTTCTTTTAACTGAGTGGTCTTGCACTGATTTAAACCTGTGCAAGATGAAAACAGCTCTCTTCAAGTCATTGAATCAGGAGCTTGGACGCATTCACATTGTTTTGAAGAAGTAAAGAGGCAAGAAGGAGCTCACCTGCACAGCTGGCAGTTCTTCCCACCAAGAGGCAGTGCTACATTGCTGCCTCTATGCAGTTTGCTTGTCTGAGTCATTGCTATGCCCCATTACACCACTTATGTCCACCGTTATGCCCTGTTACACCATTTCTGTCCACCAGTAGAGTATTGTTTGAACTCCCTGCAACAGGGCACTCTCCCATGCCACTCTGCTGGGTACTCTTCCACGGAATCCACATAGCCTCAGGCAAAGGGGAAAGTTTAGGCAAATGGCAGCAAATACTCTCACATACATTTTCCTGTCTCAGTTTCCTCATCACTTTTTCTGAGCGCATTCTACAAAGTGTTTGGAATCTTTCTCACACAATTTGTTGTTCATTCTCCTTGGTCCTCTAGCTTTGACTTGGGTACTTCTAGGACTAAATACCCACTTCTAAAACACCATTGCCTGATCAGTCCTCCTGTTGTAGCGATCCTCTTTGGCTCAGTCTTTCTAAAGCAATTTGATCTAATTTGATCTTTTTTTTTTTTTTTCCTTTGCTGCTCAAGCCTTTCCACAAACCATATCTTTTTTTCTTTTTCTTTTTCTTTTTTTTTTTTTCCAGAAAATTTGAAGAAAAGGGAAAACAAAAGAAAACAGCTTCTCTTCATTTTAGTCAAGCCAATGTCCCAAGGTGGTTTCATCTGAATAGGGCAGTACTGAAGGACAGTTGAAATGTGTGCTGTTTGCGATCTTCCTGCTATGTGACCCTACTCTGATAGATGCCCCATACTAAAACCAGACTCTAACAGAAATCAGCATGTGTTAATTGCCTGTGAATATTCACAGGACAGAGTCCCAGGGAGTTTGGTCTTTCCATGAGTTCAGACTCTGGCTCTTGCTGGTAAGCAGATCATAGAGTTCAGGGCATCCCCAGCTGCAGGAGCAGGCGCTGGAGACGTGGCTCTCAGGTTATACAGAAATGAGACTTTGTGCTGGACCAACCTCAATACCGAAGAGCAGTGCGGAGTGGCTGAAAGCAAGCTCAGGGCTGCGAAGCAAGGGCTTAGGCTGCACTGCTTCGTCTGTAGCAGCATGGGGAAGAGACAGGAGAGACTGAGAACAAAAGGCAACACAAGAGCATTCTGCAGACCCTAAAGCATACAGAGAGTCTCTGTGTTAGTCACATTCCTGTGGGGGTCTGGAGGTTTTTAGTAAAAGCACTATTATGAACTAGTAGCTGGTTTAATGCTCTTCTATAATCCACGGGCATATATGCAGTTCACATCTGATTTAAGGAAAGAAAGACCCTTCAATGTGGTTTTCAGTTCAGGTTCAGAATCCTGATGTTTTTGAGTTTATTAAATGACAGCCTAATATAAAATATGTACATAGGCAGGGAAATTTCAATGACAGGAAACTGTCATTGTTTTTGCAGCAGAATGAATGAAGTCAAACACATTAAAAATCTTCCAGCAGTGTTACTACCTAGCAAGGTTGTGGAAGGGGGGTTCTTAGGGTGTATCGACAGAAAAGTACTTCTGCCTATATTTCAGCATTTATTGAAAACACTAAAATTTACATTTTAATATGTATTTTCAAAAACATTCCCATGGTTTTTCTGGTAAATGAAAAAAAGAAAGATTCACGTGGGAACAATAAAGATGCTATTGGCTTTCATCTTTAACAGGAAGTTATTATGTAAGTTTCACAGGAGAAGAGAGAAGAAGGTAACCACTTTAAAATAGATGATATTTTGGAAAGTCCTTTATGCCAGTGCATGTTAAGAAAATGAGGCCCCAATGCAAGCAATGCTGCAGTTTGACAGAACAGGGGCATATTCCATTAACACTAGGCATTTTTAAAGAAAACACTCATTCATTCTTTTTCTTTCTTTCTTTCTTTTAAGAAGTAAGTGCAAGCTGTCATGTTCAAAAACCTTACTGCATGAACACCTCCTATTTGTTCTCTCTACCAGGACTGCTGTCACTAAGGATTCCCAAAGAATCCAGGTGGACTTAGTTGGCTTCTTCTAGGGAAGAAGAAATATGAAAGATGCTATCTACCCAAACTTGTCTCTCCTCTGACTTTAATCCAGATTGGAGGTAAAAAAAACAGAAAAGCTTTTACTGTTTTGTGATAGAGGCAGACTTAACATAAATGTCACACATTATTTCCCCAAGTTCCCAAGCCGAAATTTTTTTTAGTCATGTGCAAAGAAAATCAATCAGTGTAAGGTTCATATGCTAGTCTCTCTTTTGTGGAGGAATGAAATGAGGAAAAAAGATTGTATATCAACAGAAGTCTTTAACTTAAAAAAATCTTGGCATCAGTTGTTGAATAGACAGTACCGAGCTTTTAAGTATCTTAGCTATCCTCAAAAGCATGAACATGTGAAGTGAATGACCATACCTAACTTATTTATACCCTAATACCCAAGAAGCACTGGTGGAGACAATATCAAGTTAATAATGATATATTTCTTTTTTCACGTGCCTTTCATGAGTCTTTTCTGCACAGGTGGCAATTTTGCTATAGACTGTGCATTAATATAATCACATCAAACAGAGGCTGAAACTTTTAAATAAAGAAAATCATGCTGTTGTTTAAATAAAGAAAATCATGCTTTTTTTCAGAAATATAACATTCTCGAGGCCAAAAAAAGCTAATTACCAATTTAAAATCTAGGGTTTAGACTCTGTGCCAAGATAATTATATCTAGTCTCATTGTCTTTGCTCTCAGCTGAATGCATTTGTTACAATAATCTCCTTTGCTTCACAAGAAGGTGTTGAAGACCTAATCAATATTTTTAGCAGAAGAGGTGAGCCTCTGAGGTTTTTAAAAATTTACTTGTATATGCTTATTGAAAATGCCTGCCCAATGCTGAAGACATTATTCGAACTTCAGTCAAATATTTAAACTTCACACCCAGTTTAAACAAAAAAGTCAGGAAAAGAACTTCATGTGGCTGTGTTTTGAAGTTCTGGGATCTTACAAGGATGATGTTTGTTGTAGCATCCATTTTCCACACAACACAAAATGTCTACGTAGAGATAGCGAACCTAGAGGTGTAGGATTCACCTCACTAATTTTAGTTATCTAAAATGTGAGTCCAGTCTAAGTTAGTGATGTACTTGCCTCTGTATTTTATACAGAGGTTTGGGCACCTGCTGAGAGGGACTCTTCTGGCCTTGGAGAGAGATGTAAGACAGGAGGCGTTGGCTGTCCTTCAGAAATGACCAGTGGCCATGGAGGCAAATTATGAGTCTGAATCTAGAAATAAATGAACTAAGGGTAAGAAGAATCCCAGCCCACATGATTAGCTTAGGGTAGGCTTTTAACTTTCAGATTAATAAAGGGCAAGATCACCCTCACAGCCTGGGGCTAATTCCATAATGTAGGAGCTGCACAACCATATGACTGAATTTGTTTCCTTTTAAAAGGGCATATATAAATACACATGCAAATATACGTGTGAGAGTACAAGCCTGCTTCTAAATAGCAAGATAGAGGTAACATTTTAAAATAATATTTAACCTTACATTTAAATTTGTTCAGTTAGAAGTAAAATAAAAGGAACTTTATTTGGACATTAACTGCAAAAATAGTCTGTAATTCCCCCATTTTTTACCCCTTTGACCATTCTTTATTACGGGACTTTGCTAGAATAACGGAGCTATAACTGATGGACCTCTGCAGTTTAGCAGGTACAAGAATGACATGATGAGACTTCAGGCAAGTTGGTGTAACAGCTGCTCCTTATGCCATAGTCTAAACTATACCCTTGGGTGAAACTTGTTGTCTTGGCGCTACCTTCCCACATCACTGCCACCCTTTCAGATCTCTCAAATGTCAAATCAGCTAGAGCTGAGAAGCTGTAGTTCTCTGTCTATCATTGCTTCTAATGCTCTGCCTTGTCTGTAATTATCTTAAACATTTGCTGAAGGAAGGCTAATGTTATGAGCTTGCCAGAGAATTACGTTTAAGAGAAAGCAACACTTCTGTTAAAAAAAATTAGGTGAATCATTTGAACAAAAGGAAAACAGTAATAATCATTGTCAGAAATTTTCACATCAAAGTTAATGGGAAGTTTACAGACAAAATCCCCATGCGGCTTTGAAGATCAGCATTCTGGAATAGCAATTCTGCTACATTCAATAGAATTGCTTCTATTTAGAACACTTTTAGTTTTAATGAGTGTACTATGGCTTTATGTATTTACAAGGTCTCCCCCCCCTTTAAGTTTTTGAAGCATCATTATTTAGGAATTACATATCCAAATGACAGTAAGTCCCTGTGTAACCATAGTTCATTAAACATAAGGAATGTCTTGGAAAAACTTCAGGCTGGCTTTTCAGCAAGCGCACTCAGGGTTAACTCTTTTAACAAGTATGACTGCTCAAACTAGCTGATTTAGTAATGGCACTTGTTTTGTGTAAAGTGCAAATGCCTCCAAAAGCTAAATACAGAGGTTATCATTATTTACAATGACTGATATATTAAAGAAAATGTTTGGCTTTGAAACGTCTTTGCTTTTCAGTCAGTATTATTTACATTAGATTTTTCAATCCTGTTTTCTATAGTCTCATATTTAGAGGTGCTGAGCCATAAAATGGTTCCTCCAGAGGCCAGTGGAAGCTCTGAGTACGATACCAGTGAAGATCTGACCGTGTGAGTAACCAAATAAGTTTTTATATGTTTAAGTTCTGTTTGTATTCAAACATTATGGCCTAAGAGTCCAACATCAGAAAGTGATTTGTCATAAAAATTCTTGTCATTAGTGAACACAGATAACTCATTAAGACAGTAATTAAGAATTTCTGTTTTGCTTAGCACCTTCCATCAACAGAATCTGATGCACACACAGATGTGCATCCCACAGCTAGCTGATAGTTTTTCAGAAGAATTTTCTTAGTTTTCTGGAGAAAAAAAGTAACACAAAGTCCCCAAAATGTAATAATTTTCTCTGATACTTATATCTGATGCAAAATTATTGCCAAAACACCTCTCCTATATACAAATGGTCCATTACTGAAACGCCACTCTCTCCAGTCATTACAAGTGCTTAATGATACATAGCGTTTCTATAGAAATAATTAGTAAACACAGGAATCACATGGCTGAAATTACAGTGAAAGTAAGTGGATGGGATGTAGCTATTTAAATGTGGATTTGTTAAAAAGACCAGAGTGTTTTGTTTTTCATATTTTCCTCTTACTTCATAACATGACAGTTTGTATTTTACATGCAGTGGTGTTCTTGAATAAGAAGAATGCTTTTGTAGATGAGTTTACCAAATAAACTATGAAAAAATAGACACAGCAAATTAATGCTGAAATCTTTTTCAACAGGAAGCACCATTTTGACAAAATTAGGTAGATAAGGATGATCCAGTTCACAGACATTAAAAAAAGAAATTGTACTGGGGTGGGCTTGGTTTTTTCTTAATTGAACTCGAAGAAAGACCAATTTCCCATACTTTCTAACCTTTATTTTCCTCCTAATTTGCCCTGGAATATCCTATCTTCCTAAAAGACAACTTTCTTCTTGCACTGTTTCTACTGCCCAAGCCCCAGAGGGGAGGATGGGAGTGAAATGGCGATCATTATTCTACCTAGAGAACAGTGCACTGTATGAGAGCCCTTTTGCTCTCTTGAGGAGACTGATAATTTATCTGGTTATTCAGCCCTCTTTCCTTCATTGTTGCCTTATTTCACATGAAGTCATATTGCAGTGTAATGTAATAGCAAAGTTCTTCTATATTGCAATTAATGTTGGAATTTCTTCTAAATAAAAACATCAAGTTCATATTGTGTTGAATCAATCTTTATGTGAATTCACATGTAATTCACCTTATCAAACTTTATTGATCTAAAAGTTAGATGTGACATCAAATCTAGGATGGTCATCTAGGCTCTATCTGCATTTAATTGAGAGGTAGTCATCTTGAGAGGGTCATTCATCCCACCAGCCCAAGACACTTGTATTAAGATGGTATGGAGGTGTTTCAGCTGCAAATGGAGCCTGTTTCATTAGCTTAGATTAAACGTTTGCATATTTTATGGGTAAAACCTGGTGAGATGAATACTATCCCATGTCAAATGCTTGAGTTTTTCCTTCATGAGAATTGATGCAGTGTGTCACATATTAGGAACTCAAAAAATGCACAATCTAATGTGAAAAAAAAAAAAATAAAAACAAGAAACAAAAAAAATCTTAATAATATTTCTAGTGTGGCACCCCTTTGTTCTGGTTCAAGTAAAAGTTTTTTTATATTATATTATTTTTTGCCTTTCCGTGTTGGGAAATATTTCTTTCAAAAGACAGTTTGCAGAATGTCAAACAGCATATGCAACAACAGGAACATTTCACCTACAACTGAAAAGCAACCTGTCAATTTATCATTCAGTTACTGCATCCAAGCCATTTCCGATGGGATTATTTAAAATAATATTCAGGGACAAATATGTCATTAAACTAAGTAGCCAATAATGTGAAAAAAAGAAGTGTGTGGGAATATAAACAAGTTACTTATCTCTAAAGGATGCAAGTTTAACATTTCAAAGTGAGGTTCAAATGGTAATAGTCGTCTTTATCAAGTAGGGTTCATAAATAGCAACCTGTTAGTGGTGGGAAACTGCATACTGCATGTTACATTAGCCAAGAAGCAAAAGGAACAATTTTATAAGGCGTGATTTGCAATGAAAAGTGAGCATGTCCAGAGATAGATTTCATACAGATAATTGCTGTCTTCGAAACATGGACATCAGCCCTCTTGTCTCAGTTCTTACAGTGGTTTCTGCAGTTTGTCAGCCACCCTTCCTATCATCTCTCACAACTACAGCCTGACTCAGTAAATCAGTGCTACCAAAAAGAGTGGAGGAAGTAAGGCAGTTTGTGCTGTGTCATTATTTAGAGATATTAGAAAGATTTCATAGAATCATAGAATCATAGAATCATTAAGGTTGGAAGAGACCTCCAAGATCATCGAGTCCAACTGTCAACCCAACACCACCATGCCCACTAAACCATGTCCCTAAGCGCCTCATCTACCCGTCTTTTTTTTTTGTTATCTTACAGTAGAGCCTAATACACCGTTGTTCACAGTCTAACTTTTAGCCATCTGCCCTTGGAATAGCTCTGCTGCCTTGCATGACATTCAATATTTGACATGCCTTCAGTGATACAGTCCACAAGTTTTCATACATACCAATCACAGGCTGTAGAAAAGGATGCTTCAAAGTGAAAGTGTATACAGAAGTGTTATTATAAAATGCCTAAACTGTCTTGACATATACCATATAAAATGTGGGCCAGAAAAAAAAAAAACAAACCAACACATTTTTATGTAATCCCCTTCATGCATTTCTTATGAAGATTAAACATGCCTCTGTAGTTCTGTGTGAGAAGCAACTTGCACAGAGTGGTCACGGTGGTAACTGATACAAAATGAAGAGCAATTCATGAATGAGTTCTGCCCTTGCTGTGCAATGACTGGATAAGCCATCAAAACCAACAGTACACACTTTACTTTTGTTCCTATGTGGTCTTGGAAATTACCACTGCATTCATCAACAAAAAAAATGTAATGTGCTGATATGCTCTGGGGAAAAAAAGCCATGCAAAGTAATTTCCAAGCAGAAGGCAAGAGAAGAAGATATTTTCCAGAACTAGAAATAGCATATATTGCCTGATTTAATCTGAATTCAGGGAGCCACAGTACTGATTTTTTTTCTGCAAATGGTGCTTATCCAGAAAAAAGGAAACAAGCAGTATTTGTGAGCTATCATAGGAACTTCTGCAAAAAATCTGAATTCAAATCTTGTCTAAGTAATAGCAGAGAATGATACTGTTGGTTTCATCTTATTCTTTCTAAGGAAACAGTTCAACAAAGTTACTTGAGCACGATCAGCAGAGGGGTTATGCATAGAGACCTTCAGGCTGGGGATACTGCAGCAGGGGTGTGTGGAGAAGCAAGCGTTGCAATTGTTTGCATTTTATAAGGTTCAGTTTTCCGAGGTAAATGCAAAAAAAAAAAATCTCTTTTATGACCAGTGTATCCTGGGTATATTTTAAACAAATATCTCACCTGAATAATAGCAGAGAAAAAGGACAATAAGCTGAAACATGACTCATGATGATGAGGTAGGTTTTAGAGAGTGCCAATGTAACGTGTCTGTCTAGAGCTGGTGGTGGGTGAGACTGTGGGGAGAGAAAGAGAGAGAAAGAGATTTGTATCTCTCTGCTCCCAGACATTTAAAACTAATGACCTACAGTGTGTTGCATGAGTTTATGCAGAGATACCTGAATCACCTGCCACTTCTATAAGGCTCTGTATAGGTGCAGTAGTCCTTTCATGTGTAGAAGATTGCAGCTAAACCAGTCACAGGCAGCAGCAGAAAATGTGCAAATGAATACATAACACCCACTTAAAGCTTATGTTAATTCAACTGCCGCTTCGAAGAAGAATTAGCAATGGGTAGTATGTGCTCTGTCTTGTTAAACAGCTAGCGCCACGCTACAGTTTTTTGAAAGCCTGCAAAAAGAAGAAACATCTGATGTGCCTATTATGCAGTAAGCTATAATGTTAGTAATAGAAGGAACATATTATGAAACATAAATATCAACTAATTAACTTCTGGAGAAAAAAATATGCAGAAAGAAAGAAGCAATTGGGATTTTCTACAGGAAAAATGCATCATTTCACAAACTTCATTGGCACTATGATCTGAACAGATGCGTGTTTCAGCTCTGTTTCCTTGGCCTTCTCTGAAGTTCATTTATTCCAGACAGGTAATCAACTGCTGTTAAAAGAAATTTGCCCTTGAGTGAGTCAAATGGATGGTTAGGGACTGGAAAGAGTCTGTCCCTTTCCCAGCTCACAGTTCAGGTCAAGATTATCAGCACAGCAGTGTGCAGCCCATATTGAACACATGTCCTGATGATGTTGATATTCAAAGACTGTTGTCTTCCTTCTTCAAGAAGCTGAAATCCACAGGAAGACATGAGAAATGCCGTGATAACTGGGTTAGTGACTTTGGTTGCTGGATCATTGCATATTTCCACACTGTTCCACAGTACAGACAACTCACAGGTACAATCCACACATTTTTCTCAATTCAAGAAAATATACACAGCAAAAAAAGTAATTTCAGGCAGAAGGTAAGCCAGGACTCTTGCTTTCTAGGCAGAGATGCTACATTGAGCTAAAGCAGCTGTGTTACCTTAGGTGACCTTCTGGTAACGCTCATCATCAGCTCTCCTGTTTCAAGCAGCAGCAAAATCGTGGTTCACTTTACTGAGGACGGTAATACTTCTCCGTAGAATGAGGTAACCCCTTTTTTCAGACATAAACATCAGAATTAAACCAGAATGGATTTAAGATAAGTTCCAGCTTTGCAGCTCAAGTCGCCTGCTGTCCTATGGATATTTCTGTCCCTGTTTTGTGCTGGCATATGACTGCCTATGGTTATATACTACAGTATCGATAATACAGTATTCTGATATAGTCTTAGGAATCTGGCAACAGGAGCATGCTTTCCACAGATCAGCCGTAAGAGAGGGCTACAGTCTACCACCTATATATAAGAACACAAAGTTCTTCTGTGCTCCATTTTTCAGATGAAGTCCTGAACTAAGAATGAATGGGAATTAATCAAAATGAAGAACAGAGAGATTTATTGATTCTTTAATTTAAACTTTAAAAAGAAAAACTGATTAAAAGAATTACAGATGTTGCAACTTTTACAGTATTTTCAAAGGTAATCAACATTTTTAATTTGGAAACAAAACTGAAAATGTTATTTAAAGAATCATGCTATGTCTCCCAGCCAATACATCTGCACACTTATATCAAATTGGCAAAGCCTATTGTTTTGGATATTTGGGCAAGAAGGAAAACAAGACATAAAAACATATATTTATGAACTTTATCAAAGGTTTTAAAGGCAGTATCCTGAATAATATTTTCTGTTACACAGCATTTTTATGTGAAACCACTTTACAAAGAAAAATAAGGATTGTTATTTATTTGTCTTAAAACAGCACCTAAAGAGCTGACCTCAGGCCTAGGGAGAGTAGATACTGAACAGGCACACAGAGCTACATCAGCAAAAAGATTGCAGTATCTATCTGCTTCCTACATTTGTTGCTGACATTCAAAATTTTAATTTTCAAAGACCCCTCAAACTGTTATCAAACAGTATAGATGTCTGGATTTTGTAAATCTATCCACTTTTACAAGATAGGCTTCCTGAGTATTTAGTAGTAGGATTGTTAGCAGTTACCCTAAAAGTTAATATATCAAAGCTTTATGTCCAGGTTCCCACTGTGAAGAGAAATAGAAACCTTCAAAGGACCAATCATCCTATCATAAGGTGTGAGCCTAAGGTATGTAGGATGAATAACCCTCTGACAGTGTCTTCATTGACTGAAGAGGAGAATTAACCAAGATCAGCCCCAATTTGACATCAAATATCTGCTTGTCAGCATGTGCAGAACCACCCAAACCATGTCTGTATGAACTAAACATCCACTGAACTAAACATCCAACTAAACATTCACTCAGGATTTGGGAATTCTCAGAACATAGCTACTGACCAGTCATCGTACACAGGGAAAAATTGCTGGAAGAGATGCCAGTGCCGTCTTCGCTGTTGCCCATTAGAGCACTGAGAAGGGTCTTGGAAGCCTTGAACTCACATTCCTCATCTGCTTCAGAGGTCTTGAACTCACACTTTCTGCAAGTGTGGTTTAATAACTGGATGTGGCACATTTTGGACCGGAGGGTCTGTTCTACCTCTCTGACTGAAACTGCTCCACCTCATAAGCACTCATCTAAATATCAACTGAGGTAAACACTGAGTATAAAACTGTCTTTTAGCTTAAGCACTTGTCTGAATGTAAAGAGATGTGTATTAAACCTCTTCATCTAATTTGTATTATTTTATTCAAAGTCAAATAGCTTCATCAAAAGTGGCCAAGAAGACTCTCCTCCTTCCCACTCCCACATTGTCCTGAAGTGCAGTGATTAGGGTAATCTTTGGGGATATAAATGATTGCTGCTCAAGTCTCCTCAGGCAAAAGAAGTTAGTTATGTATTTTGTGGAAAAGGGTTAGACTTTATTATTAACTTAAGGAAAGTTCCATCCAATACCTTAACCATTTCCTTTCTCTTTTACAGAAAACCTGACAACTAATATATGCAAAATCAGTGGTCCTTTTCAAAACTATTGGCTTGAGTCACATCCTCAGATAGCAAATAGAAGTGAAGGTCCTCCTGGTTTACAATTAGGGTTTGAAATAAAAATACAGTACTTTTACTTACAAATCAAACCCCCACACAGGCTTCAAGGAAGAAACACAAAAGAAACCGTAGCCTGTGTTTGGAACTGAACTTACACTGAACCCTTCATGAGCAAAAGTACTTTGGCACCTCTGATTTCCACCAGGGACTAGAGCTGGAAATGACCATGCTCTAACAGAAAGGCTTTTCTTCTGGTATTTCCAGCTGAGATGCCAAGTGGAAGTGCTGGAATCTGATAAGAAAGCTTGGTCTCATAGATGTTTATCCAAACTCGACCTGAACTGTAAAATTTTTGATATCTGGCTATCTTTATGTAGGGGTTTAACCCCAGTCGGCAACAAAGCACCACACAGCCACTTGCTCACCCTCCCCACCCCCCAGTGGGATGAGGGAGAGAATCAGAAAAACAAAAGTAAGAAAACTCATAGGTTGAGATAAGAACAGTTTAATAATTGAAATAAGATAAAATATAATAATAATAATAATGATGATGATGATGATAATTGAAATGAAAAGGAAAACAATGACAGAGAGAGAGGAACAAAACCCAGGAAAAACAAGTGATGCAACCACTCACCACCTGCTGACCAATGCCCAGCCAGTCCCCAAGCAGCGATCACTTCCCCCCGGCCAGCTTTCCCCAGTTTATATACTGAGCATGACATCACATGGTATGGAATATCCCTTTGGCCAGTTTGGGTCAGCTGTCCTGGCTATGCTCCTTCCCAGCTCTTGTGCACCTGGCAGAGCATGAGAAGCTGAAAAGTCCTTGACTTAGTATAAACACTGCTTAGCAACAACTAAAACATCAGTGTGTTATCACATTATTCTCATGCTAAATCCAAAACACAGCACTGTACCAGCTACTAGGATAAAAATTAAGCCTATCCCAGCTGAAGCCAGGACACTTTACAAACTGATATTCAAGTGAGTTGGCAGAACAGTCTTCATTATTTATACTCAAGTATACATTTGTTGTTTTAATAGAAAACTTCCATCTTTTCATAGAAACCAAAACAATGAAAGTATCAGTAGTACAGGTTAATACAATGGTGAAAGACAATACTTGGCTAGCAGATGCTAAAAATAAAGTCGCTGCATACAAGGCCTTCCAATCAAAAGAAATACATTCAAAATGTCTGTCTTGTCTCCTCACCTTCTTAAATTACAGTGAGAAAAAATTTTACATTGAAGGCCTGGTGTTAAGTCCCAGAAATCACTGTGAAATCACTAAGCAGTCTACTATCGAATTGGCTCATCTTTGGAACAGGCCGCTACTGTAAAACTTGGCGTCATTTACACTGCCATCACTCTGTTAAGCTCTTAAGAGGTACTTTAACTGAAATTGTTATGGGAAGTGAGACCTTGGACAGTTTCTCAATGGAAGAGCACTTATTCAGTCCTCATTCTGCCCTAGCAGCACCAGGCGATGATAGCCTGTAAAAACTGACAAGCTGTGCTGCCTGTTTTCAGAATGCATTGCTAAAACATTTATGATGGATATGTGTTCCATTCAGGAAAACTAATACAGAGATTATAATGTACCCTTAACAGTGAACTAAAAAGAGAAGCACTCTCTGACCTGGTAAAACAGCTGAGTATCATTGCATAACAGTGAAGGACTGAACCCAATAAATTATTACAGCTAACTGCTTGTGTTTGCATCAACTTGTGAAATAGCTTCATTCCCCTGTGCTGGGGAATGAAGTAATATTACCTTCTCTAATAGCACAAATGATTAAAGGAGACCTTCAGATGACTGTGCCCAATAAACCACAATCATGCCTTAGTTTCTGCACCAGGCGTTATGTGGGCATTTTCCAGAAAACTCCTGCTTTTGATATCTACAACAGTTATGAAATTTATGCAATTATTTGATCAATGTATATGATGCACTTGTCCCAAATGTTCTGGATGAATGTATAAGTTATACAAAAACTCACTTTATTGATAAAACCAAACTGACACAATTTCAAATAAATACCTCCCAACCAGCAAAAACTAGACAATTTTCCTCTAAATAAAATCCTAAGGTATTACAGTTTATATCAGTAGTATTCACTGACAATCAACACACTAGACCTAGAACTAAAGATCACACCAGGGTAGAAGTTTATCCATCCAGATCTCCAAATGTGAGGACCATGAGCATGTATTCCTCTGGTAATCTTATCTGTTGCCTTATAAGAGACTGTGTCTTTCAGATGCAGTGAACTAAAAAGCTAGTAATTAATGTGCATCCAGAATGGGAGTGGAAGGCAGGATAGTTATTAAATAGCAACGCAATAAAAGACATAGAGTAGAAAGCAAACCATATTTTAGTCTTGCTGAGGTTTCCAATTATTTTAAAACCTGAACTTTACAACTGCTTACTCCGGATAAGCAAAACAATGGAAAGTCTGCATTTGGACGTATGTTTGCAAATAAGAAAACAAAACAGAATAAAGTTCCCTGGTTATTATTGCTGCCAAGGTATCAAGGTGCACCTAAAGGTCCTAGAAGATACTCTCAGTTCACAAGCTTGGCTAAAAGGAAGGAAATTTCTCCATCAGTCTCAGACAGTACCTCTCTCAGACAGTCTGCCAGCTTCTCTCAGATGTGCTTCAGGTAATTACTTCTCACCCAAGCAATGACCTCAACCCGGCATGAAGAAAGCTGAGTGTTGCGGTTTAACCCCAGCCGGCAACTAAGCACCACGCAGCCGCTCGCTCACTCCCCCCGCAGTGGGATGGGGGAAAGAATCGGAAAGGTAAAAGTGAGAAAACTCGTGGGTTCAGATAAAGACAGTTTACTAGGTAAAGCAAAAGCCACGCATGCAAGCAAAGCAAAATAAGGAATTCATTCACTCCTTCCCATCGGCAGGCAGGTGTTCAGCCATCATTCAGGAAAGCAGGGCTCCATCACTCGTAACAGTTACTTAGGAAGACAAACGCCATCACTCCGAACATCCCCCCTTCCTTCTTCTTCCCCCAGATTCATATGCTGAGCATGGTGTCATATGGTGTGGGATATCCCTTTGGTCAGTTGGGGTCAGCTGTCCCAGCTGTGTCCCCTCCCAACTTCTTGTGCACCCCCAGCCTACTCGCTGGTGGGGTGGTGCGAGAAGCAGAAAAGGCCTTGACTCTGTGTCAGCACTGCTCAGCAATATTGAAAACATCCCTGTATTATAAACACTGTTTTCAGCACAAATCCAAAACATAGCCCCATAGTAGCTACTATGAAAAAAATTAACTCTATCCCAGCCAAAACCAGCACACTGAGGAACCGTGTCATCTGAACAATATGAAGCAAAGTGGAGCTCATCACTGTATTGATGGTTGCAGTCAAAGGGGTCACACTGTTCCCTTTAGTGACTACATATATGGTTTTAAATAAGATGTATGACATAAAAGTCTACCATGCAACAAACTGTCTTCTTTGGTAAAAAAATCAGTCTGAGATTTGTCCTCTCAGAGGGAAAAGAGTGGCACTCTCAGGCATGTCTGTGCCTGCTTTTGCCAGGAACTGTAAATGTCACATAAATGATGTCCCATGTGAAAAGTCACTTGTGACAGTTCTGAAAGAATCTGCTTGGACGCAAAATGTATTTGCCAATATCTACGCAGCCAGAAGGTATTGATTCAAAGATCAAGAAAGGCAAATACAGTGTTGCTGACATTTTTTAAAGGATCATATGCAAAACATGTCTCAGAATCAGAAAGGCTTTCTAAAATCATTTTCTGATTTCTATCTCTCTTTGTGTGTAAGACTATCAGAAGACTGGGGATAGTCTAGCAGTGGTTTCCACCACCTCATTTACATACACTGTCTACCTGAACTATCAAAAAGTCTGCTTTAAACCAAATCTGTTTTGGTTGGTTCATACTGCAGAGCTCATGGGTTTCCCAAAAGTGCCAGTCTGAACAGATAGAGACAGAGACCCCTGGGGACAAGAGGATATGCAGTGCCTGCTTTTCTTTCGCTTTTGCGATGGTGTAAACCCACAGTAGCTTTAATGGATTTACAGGAGATATAACCTGTGTATGAAAGAGATTTCTAGACTTCAGTAACCAGGTTTGAAGTAGGAGTGTTTATTAAGTTGTTCCAGAGGGCAACTGCTTTTGAATCAGAGAATGCATTTGGATCATCTCTACTATGAAGTGATAAGCTGTGTAAGTTCAAAGTACAGTGGAAAGCCTTAACATTATCCACGCTTATTAGTACACAGCGCTTGTATAAACACTATGGGAAATACCGTTGTGATTGTGGACACAAACCAACTCTGACTGCAAGACTGTATATGCTTGTTATTATTCTTTTAGAGGTTATTACTGAATCTCTATATGTGCCACATTCTTTCAACCTGCTCTGAAGTCAGTAACTTTTTATATCTTATTATTCAGTGAACAGACACAGCAGGTTTGTCTAAAAAGTCACTATAATGATAATAATCTATAACTGCGAGTTAAACTGCACTCCCTGTTAACCTGAAGATTTTCCAGAATATGCGTTAGCTATCTCATTCTGTCTAGACAGCAAACAAAGACTACCAAAACTAAGATAGGTAACTCTACTGTCCACTCTGGCAAAAGCGTAAACTGACAGAAACTCCTCTCTACAATTTCTTCTGTTCCAATTCCT